AACAAATAATGTTTTGGTCATCACATTAAAAATAACATTTAAATATATATTTATTTATATAATATTTGAATTTTGAAGTGCTGAAAAAAAGATGTGTGAAGTACTTGAAAGCATTTCACCATTCCAGCCAAACTGGTTACAGTTAGTGTTACTATATTAAATCCATGGTGAATGTTGCTGGTCTGTGGACGTAAAGTACTAGTTCATTCACGGCACAATGTTTCTCCTGGTTTCCATGACAGCGCTGTTTGATCTAATAGAGATCTACGGTTAATAACGGAGAAATATGAATGCATCTCACTAGATCTCGCAGCGATGTTATTACCTCAGTGGCGAATTCAAATGTTTTCTTTACCGGATCTCTTAGCGCGGTGTGGTAACAGTGTTGCTTGATCGAGATCGGCTCGCGCTGCACAGATGTTGCTGGTCCGAACTGATAAACGATCCGTGAAGCACATAACGAGGAGCGCAGTTTCGTTCTGCTTTCATTACCCTTGCCATTTGGATGTTGCGCAATGTTGTGTTGGCACGAATTTTGCCGGCAAGAAAAATGGTCCAAGCAATCGTTCGGTTTGTATGCGTACCGAACCGGATGCCTCGAACCGAAACGGTTCAATACGAATACATGTACCGTTACACCCCTAGTGACTACCTGAACCAGTTCGTCATCATATACACTGATGAAATCCTCATTTACTCTCCCAACCTGTCTGAGCACATCCGTCATGTTAAACCAGTCCTCCAACGCCTGAGAGAACATCACCTCTATCTGAAACTTGAGAAGTGCGAATTCCACCAAACAACCATTCAGTTCCTGGGATATGTCATCACCCCTCAAGGTATCACCATGGACCAGAGGAAGGTGGACACTGTCACCAACTGGCCACAACCCACCAACCTCAAAGAACTGCAACGCTTTCTGGGATTCACCAATTTCTATCGCCGTTTCATCAAAGGTTTCAGTCAGATCAGCACACCCATCACGCCACTACTCAAACATGGGGCCAAGTCTCTGTCCTGGACCACAGATGCCATCAACGCCTTCGAAGAATTGAAGAAGACCTTCAGTTCAGATCCTACCCTTGTCCTTCCTGATCCTGATCTCCCCTTCCTTGTGGAAGTTGACGCCTCCACCTCTTGGGTAGGAGCTGTCCTATCCCAGCGGCAGGGGAACCCACTCCGACTCCATCCATGTGCCTTCTTCTCCAAGAAACTGTCCCCGGCGGAGCAGAATTACGATATTAACAACTGGGAACTGCTGGCTATCAAACTCGCCTTGGAGGAATGGAGACACTGGCTGGAGGGAGCACAACATCCCTTCATCGTCAACACCGACCATCGTAACCTAGAATACCTCCGTGAAGCTCGCCGACTCAACCCTCGCCAAGCCCGCTGGGCACTCTTCTTCACTCGCTTCAACTTCACCGTCACCTACCGCCCAGGTCACAAGAATGCAAAGGCTGATGCTCTATCCCGCCAGTTCCAACCTGATTCTAGTCCATCTGTGCCAGAAACCATCCTCCCTCCAGCCATAGTGGTCAGTCCCATTCAGTGGAGACTGGACGACCACATCGCCGAAGCCACCCAAACTGAACCTGCTCCGCCGGGAGGTCCTGAGGGACGGGTTTATGTACCCTCACGTCTACGTCTGTCCCTCATGGACTCAGTTCATACATCTCCGGGCTCTGGACACCCAGGCAGCCACCAAACCCTCTCGCTCATACAACAACGCTACTGGTGGCCTAATATGACCCAGGATGTCTCCCGATATGTCAAGAGCTGCTCAGTCTGCGCCATGACCAAAGTTCCCCACCGACTCCCGGAATACCTCCGAACTTACCTTCCCGAAGTCTTCATCCAGCCCTTTTTCAGTCTGCACTCTGGTCCTGATCCCGTCCTCCTGTCACCTGTCTCCAGTCAATGCCCTATCGGAGTCAGAGCTCTCTCCACCAGAGGCGTGGCTGCTTCCTGGGCCTGGTCCAGTGGTGTTTATATTGGTTACATCTGTGTGGCGGCCAAATGGTCCTCGTGCCCACCTTCGCTAGATTATACAATTTTGAGGTCCCTGTGCTGCAGGCACAAATCCTCTCTGCCTTGCTGGAGTTGACCTCAGGGCTAGCTCGACCCGCTATTACCCTTCCAGAGGCTCTGACCTCAATCCAAGCCCTTCTTTGTAGGCATATCTTGCCCTTCCCTAGCCCTACCACCTAGGCACCCTCAATGGAGTGTTTCAGGCTAAGGCAAAATAACTTCTAGTTCTGCTCACATAGCACAGAGCTGTTGGATTGGTTCTCCATAGCATCTAACAAAGACGCAAAACAGGTAAACGTTTTGAAATGGAACGCCTCGGTTACTTATGTAACCTCGGTTCCCTGAGATAACGGGAACACGTATTGCGCAAGTTGGCCATGCTATGTCGCTTCACGACTGGTGTTTGTCGCTTCAGTCGAATTAAACCTGATTCCTATCAGGTTTCTATCTATTCTGCTATCAGCAGACGTGCGATCGGTTGTTTGTGTTTGTAGCTCCGGAGAATTTCTTCACTAATCCTTGATTTTCTTCTTTACCACTCATTTATAAACAAGCATTTTCTATTTTTATATCATGTGAACTTATCCTCGATACTATTCCTTATAAAAAACAATTGGATTGCTTTGATATCGCTACTTATATCCGACCTTCCGAATCCCGGCTACTAGCCTTTAGCCCGCTAGCATTCCACGCGTGCCCTCTCGCCTACTGGTCGTCTCATTTTATACCCGTTTCACTGAATCCTGGTTATTTCCGGCATTTCAGTCCTAAATTAGTAGTGATAGTTGTAGTATCACTACTAATAAGTCCTAAATTAGTGGTGATAGTTGTAGTATCACTACTAATTTACTGTTTATCTGTTATAATGGCGAACATATCAGATGCGTGTCTAACATTACCTCTGAGTGCAGGTGAGGACACTTTCGAGCTCTTCACGGTGAAGCAGGAGCTGGAATACGTCGACAAACAGATCCGTGGTCTGCTGGTGAAGCAAGCCGAGCTGTTGGATCGGCGCTCAACGCTTGAAGCATCACGCGCCGACGCTCACAAATCAGTGGTTAGTAACGTTAACTCTTTGAGTCCGACTTCGTCTACTCCGTATGTTACTCTGCCCAGGACGCGATCATCTCGGGCTTCATTCACTCCGGCACCGAAACAGCAACATGGACCATGGATCACACAGCGGAAGACACGAGCCAGGACCAGAGCTGCCTCTCCGCCCCTCCCGGTCTTCGAGATCTCCACCCGGAACCGCTTCTCCCTTCTTCGCGAGCCGGAACGCGATGACGCCGTGATCATCGGCACATCCATGGTCCGTCATGTCCGCGCTACTACTTCGGGGAAAGGTAAGGTGCGCACTCACTGCTTTCCTGGTGCTCGTGTTCTTGATGTCGCTGCACAGGTTCCCGAGATCCTGAACGGGGACAAGCGCGTCGGAGCTGTTGTGCTGCACGCGGGAGCGAACGACATCAGGCTGCGGCAGACGGAGGTTCTGAAGAAGGACTACAGGAGCCTGATCGAGACGGTACGCAGCACAGCGCCTAAAGCAGCGATCACCGTGTCTGGACCACTTCCCACGTACAGACAAGGACAGGAAAGGTTCAGTAGACTATTTGCATTAAATGAATGGTTAATGTCATTGTGTAATGAACAGAAGCTGCTCTTTGTAAATAACTGGGATCTGTTTTGGGAAAGACCCAGGATGTACCGTGCAGATGGATTCCATCCCAGCCGAATCGGAGCGGCTGTGCTGTCGGACAACATCTCCAAGACGCTACGCACCAGATGACTAGTAAGTCAAAGTCCAAATCACAGCCTTTGCGGTCCAAACTTAACTAATATGCATAGTGTGGAACATTACATAGAAACTGTTTCTATTCCTCGTTTAGTGAAGCCAAATAATAAAACTAGTGCAGGATCTAGCAAAAATCTTATTGTAATCAAACCGGAAAATCTAAATATCAGTGAACAAAAACAATTTCTAAAGCTAGGTCTTCTAAACATTAGATCGCTCACACCTAAGGCGGTTATTGTAAATGAAATGGTCACAGATAATAACTTCGATGTTCTGTGCCTTACTGAAACCTGGCTAAAACCAAATTAGTATTTCGGTCTAAACGAATCTACTCCGCCAGGATACTGTTATAAACATGAGCCTCGCCTGATCGGTCGTGGCGGCGGTGTTGCAACAATCTATAAAGATATTTTTAATATTACTCAGAAAACAGGTCACAGGTTTAATTCATTTGAAGTACTTGTGCTAAATGTTACGCTCTTAGATGTAAGAAGGAAATCCATATTATCTCTAGCCTTGGCTACTGTATATAGACCTCCAGGGCCATATGCTGAATTCCTAAAAGAGTTTGCAGACTTTCTCTCAGATCTATTGGTGAACGTCGATAAAGCAATAATTGCTGGAGATTTTAACATGCACGTAGATAATACAAATGATGCTTTAGGGGCTGCGTTTACAGACTTATTAAACTCCTTTGGGGTCAAACAAAACGTCAGTGGTCCCACTCACCGTCTAAATCATACACTAGATTTAATTATATCATATGGAAACGATCCAACTGATATTGATATTATACCGCAAAGCAATGATGTCACTGATCATTACATGGTGACTTGCATAATACGTACTGCTGAAATATGTCATGTTGCGCCACGTTATAGACCAGGCAGAACAATCCTTCCAACCACTATAGATGTATTCTCAAATAGCTTACCTGATCTATCTAAGCTGCTAAGTGAACCCAAACAAACAGATGAATTAGAGGAAATGACTAGCAGTTTAAGCACCATTTTTACTAGTACATTAGATATTGTTGCACCAATTAGATTAAAAAAGGTTAGAGAGAAAACTAAAGCACCATGGTACAACAGTGCTACGTGTAACCGGTGGCTCGCGACACCAGTTATACTTGTCTGCGTTGTGTAGATAAATAAGACACTGGACCACAGGCAGTGATTTCACTGGTTTACTCTGATAGACAACTGATAGACAAATGAAACATAATCAGCCTCTTAGTGAGAAGCGCCCTCTCTAGCTCTCTCACTGAATCACCAGTGCAAAGAGATAAGAGAATCACAATAAAATGCATAAACATATAACAGAAGACATACCTGATAGACAAATGAAACATAATCAGCCTCTTAGTGAGAAGCGCCCTCTCTAGCTCTATAAAACAAATATGATGTACATTTGTCACACGTGTTCTCATTTCCCATTTGGGCCCAGATGTTAAAACATCACTTAATCGCGAAAATAACCACACAGATAAGTAAAATAATATTGCACAAAGGAATTAGAATGAAAATTTAGACATAAAAGCAACACTTAATATATAGATTAAAGATGATTATCAGGAGCCCAAAATAACCTCACCTCTCACTGAATCACCAGTGCAAAGAGGAAGAGGAGGAGACAAAACAGGAAATTATATTGACTCATGACATCACATCAATTAAAGGAAAAGACACTCAACTTCACTTAGGCGGTAGAATCAGGTATATGTCAACAAATAACTTTGTGGAAATTCTAATAAACTATAAATACATTTAACAGTACACTTTATGTACCTGTTACACTCACCCCCCAGAATTTACACAAAATCCTGAAAAAGTAGAACGAGAATACACTGGTCACTTGAATTACATGGTCTACCGTAAAGACTCCATCTTAAAAGTTACCCAACCAAGGGATACAAAAATGGCGAAAGTTGGCCAAACTTCCACACATCTTGCAGGCATAAGCAAAGTGCCCATTACACTTTGATAAATTCAGACCAATTATACAAACAGGATTAATAAACACAGGGAAAAAAAAAAAAAAATTTTCAGGCAATTACACTCAGAATTACCAGAGTCTGTGCAATACCATACATAGACTTACACATGTATTACAGGAGATAAAGAATCTATCCCAAGTAAGGTTTCGAGTTGAACCATAGACTCAATTAACCTACGAACAGGTTTAATTACCCTACCAAGCCTGGTAGTGTAACGATCATCAGGGTGATTGTCAACCATAGGATCATGTGAACTACTAGGAACAGGAACAGTAGAAAAAGAAGCACTAGTTACAGTGTCATGGTCAACAGGTAAGTCATTTTGTGCTTCAGAAACAGACGGAGAAGAATGGGACGAAACCCAAGAAGCAGTACGATCATCATCACAAACAGCTATGTGAGACAAATCATCAGTGACAGGTAATGTTGACTCAGCCACATCACAAACAGATTGAGATGAAGTGGAAAAAGGACCACCAGTAGCACCATCATCAACAGAAATGTCAGTTGAAGGCAAAGGGAGGAAGTTAACTGGCAACAATAGATTCCGATGTACCACTTTCTCATGACCAGATCTGTCACGGATCTTGTAAATGTGCAGGGAAGGTTTGGAGGCAACAACGGAATACATGGTGGGTTCCCATTTATCGGCAAGCTTCCGTTTACCCCTACAACCTTTGTTGGCAACAAGAACATGATCACCGACTGACAGAGGCAATCCTTTGACTCTCTTATTGTACTGATCAGACTGGTGTTTTTGTTCTGCAGTAGAGTTCTTTTGAGCCAGCGCCATAGCAGACTGTAGATCACCGACAAGGGATTGAACATAGTCACTGTAATCACAGATTGACTCATCACGAAGCACACTTTGAAACATAAGGTCAACAGGTAATCTCGGCACCCTCCCAAACATCAGGTAAAAAGGAGCAAACCCAGTTGTCTCATGGGCAGTGCAGTTATACATGAATGTCATTGTTTGAACCAACTGTGGCCACCTTTGCTTAGATCTGGGTGGAAGCGACCTCAGCATGTTACCTAACGTTCTGTTGAACCTTTCAGTTCCACCATTCCCCATTGGATGATACGGGGAAGTCCGTGACTTGTCAACACCAGCAACATCAAGAAGCTCTGCTATCAGCTCACTCTCAAAATTTGCTCCCTGGTCTGAATGGATACGCTGGGGAAATCCATATACACAGAAGAAGCCATCCCAAAGTTTCTTAGCGACACTTTTAGCACATTGATTCCGGCATGGAAAAGCATGAGCTAGCTTGGTGAAATGATCTGTAATTACTAAGACATCCACAGATTTATTGTGCTTATCTTCAGCAGACCAGAAATCAATAGAGACAAGCTCCAATGGGGCAGTGGTCTTGATGCTCTCCAAAGGCGCTCTTGCTGCTGGCTCAGGAGTTTTACTCAGGACACAACGGGTACAAGTCTTAACGTAATCACGCACATCACGTTCCATCTCAGGCCAATAGAACCTCTGGCGTGCTAGAGACAGGGTACGTGGCTGACCTTGGTGACCGGCCAAATCATGAACACCAGAGAGTGCTTGCTGTTTCAGGGAACCAGGCAGGACGAACTGAAACTTCTTGTGCTTAGTAAGCGGATCTTTGACAGCTCTATACAGAATTCCATGAAGCAAAAACAGTTTTTCCCACTGCCTCAAAATCCTTAAAACCCGCAAATCCTCATTCGCACGCTCACGCCTGTTAGGTCTTCGCTTCCTGCTGACATAGAAAGCCACCCTCGAAACAACTGCGTCATTGTTCTGCTGACACTGCAATTCAGACAATGAAAAGGCATGGTTTACGTCTTGACAGTCAGGAATCAAAGAAGTCAAGTGATCAGCCAGGGATGTTGCTCTGGATACAGCTCCTGAATCCCAATCCTCACAAGAAGACAAGACAGACGACACATCCTCAGTAGTCATAGAGAAGTTGATCTCAGAGCTCAGATTGAGTGCACTATCAACCGTCTGAGGCTGGCACGTGAGACGGAAGGTCTCTTGGACAGAATCATCTTCCACACTGTGTACAGACTTCAACAGTTCAGAGTAAGGCTCAGACAAAAGTCGCTGACTCACTGGGTTGACAAACGGGTCACGACTGAGCGCATCCGCCACAACATTCAATCTTCCAGGAACGTACTTGATCTTAAAGTTGTACGGGGCAAGTTTTGAAACCCAGCGCTGCTCACAAGCGTCCAATTTTGGTTTTGTCAAGATGTACGTGAGCGGATTATTATCCGTCCACACGGTAAACTCGTGGCCTTTGAGCCAGTGACTGAACTTGTCACACACTGCCCACTTCAGAGCTAAGAATTCTAATCTGTGTGCCGGGTAATTGGCTTGGCTACGGCTCAAGGACTTGCTGGCGAAGGCTATAGGACGTGCTTTGTCCTCACCACTGGGAACTTGAGAAAGCACTGCACCTAGGCCGTCCAATGATGCATCAGTGCAGAGAATAAAGGGACGCTCAAAGTCGGGGTGTGCCAAGACTACGCTCTCAACAAGGGCTCTCTTTAACTCCTCGAAGGCGACATCACAAGCTGGAGTCCAGTCCTGGGGAGACAACTCTCGGTAAGTACCAGATCTTTTACGACTACCTGTGCCTTTCATCAAACGTTTTTGACCGGCTGTCAAGTCGAACAATGGCTTCGCGACACGCGTACAGCCAGGAATGAAGCTCTGGTAATAGAGAACCATGCCCAGAAAAGATCTTAGTTTCTTCGGTGAGGGTGTGACACCATCTTCTTTCATCAGGTCATTCTTCTGAAAGGCTGAAATGACTGCAACTTTGCCCTCATCTACAGACACTCCAGACCCGCTGATCACATGGCCCAGAAACTTGATGGAGCGCCTGAGAAAGTGGCACTTCTTTGGAGCCAACTTCAAATTACTAGCTCTCATCCGTGAAAACACCACTTCCAAACGTTTCAAGGCTTCTTGCTCAGAACGGGCAAACACCAGCAAATCATCGAGATAGCAAAGGAGGCTGGAAAAGTTGAGATCTCCAAATACGCTGAGCATCATGCGCATGAAAGATGCCGGACTGTTACACAGGCCCTGGGGAAGACGGTTGTATTCGTACAAGCCCATCGGTGTTGTGAATGCCGTGTAGTGACGATCAGATACATGGAGCGGGACGTTGTAAAAACCCGAAGTCAAATCATCTGAGCTGAAGAGAAGATTGCCACCAAGAGCAGCAAGACAATCCGCCTGATGGGGCAAAGGGTGAGCATCCTTGATTGTCTTTGCATTAAGCCAGCGAAAGTCCGTACAGACTCTGAGAGACCCATCCTTCTTCCATGCCATTACCAAAGGAGACGCATACTCGCTGACTGATTTGCTAATGATGCCCTTCTCTTCCATTTCAGAGAGTACCTCTCTCAACTTTTGGTAGTGAGCGGGAGGGGTTCGGCGATAAGGCAGGCGAAACGGACGCTCGTCACTCAGATTAATTCGGTGTACAAAGTCTCTCACCTTTCCACAATCGAGTCTGTCTTTGGAGAAAACATCATTATAAGACACGATAAGACTTGCCAACTCCTCCTTCCATGACTTGGATACCTCACATCCTTCAATATCTATGTCCTCCAAACCATACTCATGCAGTAACCGCACAGGGTCAACAGGTGGAATAGACTTGTTGAAAGTGGCATCAGAAACTTGAGGTCTGCAGACATCTTGAGAAAACGTAACATCCTCCACCGCCAGACAAGGAGACACATCAGCAAGCTTAGTGTTGCGTCGAAGAGTTATTGGAGACTCAGTGGGATTTAAGATCTTCATCGGCACCCATCGATCACCCCACATAGGAGTCACTAGACGTCCTACAAGCACATGTCGAGGCGCTGAGCGAGACGTAGTGGGCTCGACGATGACGGAGCTTCCTGGGGAGACATTAGTGTTAGCTGGTAGTTTTCCCCAGACAAGATGCTCACATCTGGGAAGTAAAGTAACTGCCTGACAAAGCCTAACTGTGCCGAGCTTAGCAGGCTGTTGAGGACCAGACCAACGAGAAACACAACTCAAAAGCTCAAGAAACTCTTCACACTCAGGGTTGCTATTTTGGCAGGAAATCAGATCCCAGTACTTCTTCTCGGCTTTCATCTTCTTAAGCACACATTTGATGACGTTACTGCCGATAATGAACTCATCCCTCTGTCCGGGAACTATCAAGGTTGGTACAATGAACTTGAACCCGTAGACTTCGATTTCCAGGTCATACGCGCACTTAGGCTGAGTAGTAAGGCCACCACAGCCCACCAGGACCACGTTACCAGGAATCATTGAGGGTTGAGGGAGAACTCCGTCAGCACACAACTTCGATTCACCTTCCGTGCTCAGGGTACAAGCCATACTCCCAGAATCCAGCAAACCGTGCAGTACTGACTGGCTACGGACAGTTACAGGAGCATAAAAGAGTTCACTGGCTCCATCAATTTTCTGAGATCCCACATACAACACTGTTTTGTCGGGTGGCAACAATTTGCAACTATTTACAAAAATCTCTTGTGGGTCTGACTCATCTTTTAGGGGAAATACGCCACCGCCCATGCTATCCCCCTCTGCACATGGGCTACTTAGTTTAACTGGGTGGCAGGAGAAGGAAGCT